TTATAATAAAACAACAGAAGACATCATTATTTATACCCTATATATACAGGGTGTTAATTAATGATAGGTCGTAATTTCAAGGGCGCATGCTTGAACCAAGTAGAAAAGTTTAACGATCGAAATTAACTTGATCTTATTGGTTATTTTAATAAAAGTGGTTTTTATTTTTTCCTCAAAAACGAAGTAAGATAAAAAAAAGTTGTATTTTTAGCTGATTAGTCGAAAAAGAAATATATAAAAGTTGAAAAGTCAGTGGCGTACATTTTTTTGTAAATATTCATAAGACTGCTCCTCATCGCGACGCCACTGAAACTCATAATTATCTTCTAGTCAGTGTAAACTTAGCGTCTTATCACAATGAAGAACACTGCCAAATTTCAACAAAGTAGAAAAATGGATATTTGAGATATTAATGAAAAAACCTATTCCTTTTCAACTTTGACACCTGTATCTTTAAAACCAGACTTTTATGAAACATTCTTATATAAACGTTTATACTTGAAATTGGTTCAGCAATGCGCTCTTGGAATCACACCCTATCATTAAATAACACCCTGGAAAAGGCGGGAAAACCGGGACAATTTACATGAAAAGCGGGACTTGAAATTATTAAAAAAAAGGTGGGACAGATTAGCAAAAAGCGGGACTGTCCCTCCTATGGCGGGACGTTTAGCAACCCTGGTAGGCTGGTCATGAGCTAGGAGGTGCCTATCTACTTAGGAGGATGCACAATGAACCTAGTGATGCCTAAGTGCCGTGGGTTAACCCACTCTCCACACGTTACAAAAACAGAGAGCCTTTTGCAATACAATACGACTATTCTACTATACTTCTTCTGAGTCGTAGAAAAAATATATTGCACAGCATGAGTGGATTGTTCAGTTTCTTTTTATATAAATTTGACACATTTCACTGCTGCTTAGTTCGGGCCGCTCACTCTGCGTATTTGGAGTGACTCTATCGCACTCTGCCGCGTTCAAATTATACTTGTCAAGAGACCCGTGTAAACTCTATTTTATGAAAATACAAAGAACGTGCTATTTATGTTCTTTTTGGTATGTCCTTTCTAGAATGTTCTTAGAACATACCTAGTACATACATTGAAAGTATATACTCTGAGTACGTGCTTTAAAAGTATATTCTAAAACAGTACATTCATAAAATATACTAAAAGTCATATACCCAGCATGTACTTCATATTTTGAGAACGTTCTAAATGCTTTACAGGTAAAAATTAACTCAAAATACAAGTAAAAACACATTTATATACATATCAATACGAATTATTTTTCTCAGATGCCGATCTGATAATTCGCTAGATACGCACTAATGTTGAGTGTTCAGGCCAAAAAAACATTCACAACCTTAATAGAAGAGAAGAATGACATGACAAATTTTTTGATCACGCTTGAGTTTGTTATTGGTAAATAAATTAATAAAAATCAATTGCATCGTGTACTGTATAAAAATAAACATTTTACTATATTTTTAGTTTTTAGGACCTACAAGTGATGTTAGAACACAGGATATCCCAAATATTAATTACCAGTGTGCATTTATTATTATGGTTAATACTAATGGCGAATTGAAACTAAAATACAGTGTTACCAGAATTACATATACACTTTCTATAAAAATAATCCTGTAAGGCCAGAAATTGACCTGGAAGAACTAGAAAATTAGCTAAAAGAGGACGAAAACTACAAAATGGTGGTAAGTAATTAACAAAAATATAGTTATACTTTCACTAAGCATAATAATCATTTATGCAACTCTTGTTTTTGTTAGTGGAATGTCATGTACAATTTTTAATGTTTTACGTTCGACAAAAATATTCCATTAGTTATGTACACTTAATTTGTATATTATGTACCAAGTTTATTGATTTTTTTAGGTTCAATGAAGAAATGGAAGCTACCAAATGAAACTCAATGCATAGATACAATAAAATATTGGTTGGTTAAGGCCAAAGAAAGAATTTGTTATAAAATAAGAATAAGTATGAATTTTTGGAAATAAAGATTTAAAAAATGTTCACGATTTTCATTATATATAAATATTCTTTAATGTTCAATATTAATGAAACATCCTGTATTAGGGTGTCTAGTATATGCTAAATTTAAATACTTGGCATATGCTTAGAACGTACTATCAAATGAAAGTAGATACTTATTGCATACTGCAGGGTCGGCTCTAGGCATGTGCAGAGTGTGCCACAGGGCGCCAAAAAATTACAATTATCAATTTAAAATAAAATATTACTTTTTTCTTTGTCTAGTCATTAAGAAGAGCAGCTGTGGCAGTATAGATTTAATTTTAAATAAATAAATTAGAGTATTTATCTATATTTTATTGTTATCTGACGCCGCCCCTGCGATTGTCTGTGAGAAACTCAGCGCCCTGCAACGCCACCCCTGCGATAGAGAATGTAATAAATCTAGAAATTTGCTAGAAAGTCGAGTTTGCTTAGACTAGGTAATAAAGAGAGGACTCTTAACGCCGCTGAAAATCTTGTTCCATTTTGACACCAACGATATTCGACCAAAGGCGTAACATGTTGGAAATAAAAAAACGAACTTGTATTTAAGTTATTAGTACTTTACTGATATTTTTAGGTATAAAGCAAGTTCAAAGCCTAAAATTTAAAATAAATAAGTAACAATAAATAAGACAAGAAAAAAAATATATTGAAATAAACTGAATGAAATCGCTTACATAATAAAATAAGTGTTTTTTTTTTAAATTCCACAAAATAAAACATAATGATCTACATGTACAGTGCAACCTCTTTAATCCGAACACCTAATTGTCAGACCTTGTTCGGATTATCGAATTGTTCGAATTAACGAATATACAATAAAACACCTCTTACACATTGTTAGACCATTTGATCTATGTACGTATATTGATTTTTGTACATTTAAATGCATTATCAAACTACATATGGGAGACGCGGGCCGCGCTGCAGGTCTTTTGCTGTCAGCGTTCGGATTACAGAGGCGACGTTCGGACTATTTCGCATCACGATTTGCGTTCGGATTAGCGTGGGTTCGAATTATCGAGGTTGCACTGTATTACAAGAAGTTTTATTTTAGTTAATAAAGAATGACATTACCCAGATAGCACAGACACGTTTTAAAGACATCTTAAAGACGTTTGTTCACGACGTTCGTGAAGTTTTGAAGATGTACGCTAATTAATTAACTAAGCAAATTAAAAATGCCCTATGTGTAGAAATTTTATAATTTGTAACTATTTAGAATATCAGATAGTATTATTCTGAATTGCAATAGGTCCTATGTCCTATGTGATACAATAATTTATTTTAATTTGTCCTATCTTTCAAAAGTATTATTTAGAATAATATTTGGTTTAAACTGTTATTTTTAATATAAACAAATTAAAAAAATATCATTGACGTGTTTTTTTTCTAACTTTCGCCGTTAATACTTTATCAAAGAGACAGTTTTTTCTTCCTCCTGAAAAGTATCAATTTTTTAGATAGAACATATTGATCCTTCACCAACGATATATCGTTAAAGGGAAACATTTTCTTCCTCTTAACCTCGCACAAAAACATCTAGGTTACATTCGACTTAAAAGACACATGTATTTCAAAATATTTTTTGTACTATTAAAAAGTAGAGAAATTATATATCATGAAAATAAAAAAAAATTTGGAGATTGTCCATGATTAAGCGAGAAATTTAATATTAAAATCTCAAAAATTGCACATTTTTAATCAAATATTTTGACTTATGTGTACAGGGTTGCCAAGTATTTTAATATGTAAGAAGATAATATAATTAATTTGTAAACTCGTAAATTATACTTTTATGATTTGTATATTTAAATAAAAATAATAGAATTTTTTGATAAAATACCAGAATCTGTATCAAACATCGCTCCCCGGCACCTAACACAGATCAAAGAATAATATCTGTTCATATCAGCTTATACAATCCTTTGTAAGTTTTTATAACTTACTGACATTTCACATGGCATTTTTGAGTAATTTCTAGAAATACAATGTTACAAAATCATTTTATTTGACTCATTCAACATAAAAGTTCACTCTAAATTCTCCGCTGCCCGATCATACTGTTAATACCTAGACTACTTAGTTTTTGGAATATTGCGGGTCGAAATTGTACATGCCTTGCAGCATATTTCATTTCGTTATCAGATGACGGTTGAAATTTGCAGTGGGCTTACTATAACTAATACAATATATTATTATGACAACCGCCTATATTCAAACAGCAATCTTCTGCGCATCCTGAATTTGTATCCCTGGAGTGGATGTTATTTTGGAACATCCAATACGCTAGTTCGGTGTGATGTCATTTTGGTTCCACTGATATTTAATTCTAACCAAACTTTTAACAAAAACATAAATAAATTTGACATACGTTTTTACTGTTTTAAGTTTATTTCTAAATATTGTTTACAGGTCATAAAAAATAGTTTAAAGGTATGTAATTGGTAACTAAAGGATTGTATATTTGATGCATGTTATCTTCTTATTTTAGGAATATATTTATAAAAGTGAAAAAACGATATAATTTAGGTAAACAAAACACTCAAAAAATCTACTGTCACATTAATTGTCAGTGAAACCATAATTACATCATCACAGAACTAGCGTATTGGTCCGAGTGAGCTAAAAGATCTTTAGCTATAAACTGTGGCCTTGCCTTCTACCTGACCTGTCAGATATTGACGTTCCTCGATCAACGATGAATCGATTTTTATCAAAATTTATCTTAGTAATGAATGTTGCATAAGCAGTAGTGCTAACTTTGATTGAAATTATCTTATAAGTATGAATAAAAGATTTTTAATGTAATTATTTTAAAACGCTACACTGTGAATCGAGTGAAAAGGTCCCAGTATTTCGGGAAGACATCATATTCCAACTCTAGTGAGTACACGCATTATGCCCGCCCTTGGTGGGTAAAAAAAAAGCATAAATATCTTATAAAATATATTTGACACATAAAGCGCATACATATTTTGATTAACAATCACAATAGCATTATATCCTATTTATTTTTAACTCATATAAAATAACACATATATATGTTGCATTAGAATCATACCTCAATTTCAAGTGAACAACTTCGAAAAAAATATCTTCTCCTTTTGCAAATAGCTCAACTTGTACTTTTTAGCTTGGTTCAACATTTTAATGATATTCTTATCATTGGGGTGCATACTGAGAGCAGTGTTCAAGTCGTTTAGGGCTTTGTCGTACTCTTCGAGATGCAACATAGCTTGCGCCCGTCTATAGTACACTTTACCGTTATTTTTCTCGTCTTTCAAAATCTAAAAAAAAAAAAACATTAACCCATTTTAACGTCAGATTAAGAGCCAGTTTCGCAACGGTAGCAAACTTTTACAGTTAAGATACATACAAAAGATTTATAACAAAAATAGTTTAAAAGAATTAATTTAAAATAAATAAGGAAAAGTCGTTTGTCGATTTATCAAAAATTGTAAAATAGTAAGGTGGGCATGGATAAAAAAATTCAAGCACATATAAAAGATATGCAAACTTTTGAAAGATGAGGAATATTGGTGGTTGAACACATGTCCAAGCGAGAAATTGTAAAGATTTATCGTGAAAATGTTTCAAAGACAAACATATAATAATATAAAATAATTACAGAATGTAAAAGTACAGAAGACCGAGTTGGGACATCATATCGAAAGTTATCCAGATAATTTAATGTTTCTCATGAAACTGTAAAAAGCGTATTGCAAAAAATAGTATATTGTGCAACAAGTGCAGAAAGTAACCAATTCCACACGATGTGTGAAACTTGTGGCACGAGCGAATGCGAGTGCCACAATCACACGAGTGTGGAATTGGTTTTCTGCACGAGTGGCACACTATACTTTTTCTACGACCACAATGACTTAAAACACAAATTAATATATTTTTTAATAATTGGATGATCTTTATTAACGATTTAAAATTAGAAATATAAAGAGGTGGTAAATATTTATTATTGTTATCACTTTTTAAATGTGTACTTAACATAGTTTCTTTTTCATATTTTTCGTGGACATCGTCCCGGTTTCTCCTGTTTGTGCCCCAAATAAAATAAAACAAATTATTACTACTATTAATTTTGTTTAATAATTCACTAAACTATATAAACGTATTTGAATTTTCTTAAATTTCAATTACAAATTTATTTATTATAAAAATTAATACTAACAACATTACAGTTTGAAATATTAAGAGGTGGTAAATCATGACCTTGGATGGTTTTTTCATATGTTGTTTCTGAAATAGATATTCTGCTAGTAGAAGCTTCAGGTTCTTCACTCCTATTTTCTACAGAATGTAGAATTGAATTTGCGATATCCATTTTATGTGATAAACTGTCATCGATGTATCCTTCCGCGGTTGTAGTTGACTTCCATCTGCCGTGTCTTTTAAGCTTTGTTATATCTGCTCCAGAATTAACTAGAATTGTTGCGGACGAACGGCGAAAACAGTGGCTTGTATAATTTTTGTGATCTGGTAACTTCAAATATTCAGCAATTTGTTGTGCCATATTTCCAAATTTATTGATTCCTACTGGTTGCACTGTACGCTTGCCCTTTTGATAATTCGTAAAAAAATAATCGTGAGGTATATTTGAAGGACGAAGAGTGTTATATTTTTTAAATATTGCATAAAAATCTCCAGTAACCGTAAACTTTCTAGGAACTTTAGTTTTTGTCTTTGTTATATTGACTAAAACAGCAGAGCCCATGTCTTGTACGTCACACATTTTTAAATTTTTTATTTCTTCTCTTCTACATGCTCCCATTATTCCCAAAATCAGAGCTGTCTATAAAATTAAATTTAACATGAAAAAATATTAATCTCATATTATTAAGTATTTACCTTTATGATTTGTTCAGGTGTATTTTTGACTTTTTTTGCTACATATCCTTCAGACTTTCTTTTCAGAAACGAGCGCAATTTTTGATAGCGTGAAATATCTACATTTTGCCTTATTGACAATGTAGTTCTCAACATCGAGTAAATTGACCATAATGTAGAAGATTTAAAAGATTTCGATTGCTCCCCAAAATAAGCCATTAAAATAGTTTCTGAAAAGGAGTTCACCTTATTTTGTAGTCGCCAATCCATAAATATTGAATAAGCTAAGTTGTATTTTTTCGCCAATGTTTGAGGCAATAAGTCTTCTGTAATGTTATTCGCTATTTCTTTAATATGTGGTGGAGTATTATAATTATTATCACTACTATTACTATCACTGTCCATTTTATTATTTATAGTTTTCAAAAGTATCGAAATAAAATAAATGTCAATATTTTAAACCGGGTAACTCGATTTAAATTTTTGTTGTATTATCTCCTTTATATAGGCGACCAACATTACATAAATTATAAATTATTTTAAGTTTTTTTCTAAATTAACTGAATTTTGTAGTATTCGACGAAATATTTAGTTAAAATAGATATGTCCTTAAAATATAATATTGTGTTTTTTCATTCATACTAAAGGTTATACGACAATTTATTCGATGCACTAAACAGTGTGGAATTACCGTGTGGAATATTTCCACACTAATTATGAATGTGTACGGAATTGCCTACTTTGACCCTTAAAAAAACAATTCGGAATTTATAATTTTCTGTAGTGGTCGTCGAAAAAAAGGTTTGAAGTACCGTAAAAAACGTGTTTACACAGGACTGGGCTCACTTTATTTGATAAAGTAACAGAACAAACTGACAGAAACAAATAATTAAAACTAAAGTAGATTTTTAAAATGAACACCGTGAATGTCAATAGACGTCAATACACACGTTTTAACAGATTTTTCACCGATTTGTCAATTATTTCCGGTTTATTTCTAATGTTGTTACATACATTATTAATTTTTTCCAATAACTGCTCGGGTATTCATTTCTTCGTTGTACACCTCTGATTTAAGGTAGCTTCATAAAAAATTATCCAGTGGTGTTAGATCTGGAGATCTTGGAGGCCAATTGACGGAACCGCCACGACCTATCCATTTATTTGGGAAGCGATGATTTAAATGGTCTCTGACCAGTATTGGAAAATGAGGTCCAGGACCGTCGTGTTGAAACCACATTCCTTCTAACAAATTTGGCAGGATGTCTCTAAGGAAATTTAAATAAACTTCAGCTGTTAATCTGCCTTCAAAAACATGAGGGCCTATTAAATTATTTTTATAAATATCACACCATATATTTATAGAAAATCTATATTGGGAATGTTTTTGTGATACAGTGTGAGGATTTTCAGTTGCCCAAAGATGACCATTCCTAGTGTTATTGATCCCATCACGTGTAAATTGGGATTCATCAGTAAATAAAATTCTTGATATTGTCCTTCTCTGAGTCAAAGTCCATCTACTAAAAGATAAGCGGGGTACGTCATCTCCGTGTTCAAATCGCTGTACTTTTTGTACATGAAATAGATGCAAATTTTCTTTTTTTAAAGTTTTCCATACTCTTGTTACTCTGCTAATTCATTACTAATTCTTCGTACACTGATAGAAGGATTATTTCAAGCTATCTGTAGTATCTCCTCTTCTTGTCAAAGATTATTTTTCGGAGCATGTTCATGTTTAACTGTAGTTGGAAACTTTCCATGTTACTTACTGAATTCGAAAATCTGTAAAAATCTCTTAGAATTTGGTAAACGGCGATTAGGAAAGCATCTCTTACTGCTGCTCAACCGTTTCCGTTACAAAAACCGAACACAAAAATAATGTCTGCATATTCTTCATTACTAAATTGAAACGGCATAGTGAAATACTTATTTTCATACCATTAGAAACTTACACTTATGAACAAAAGTAATTTAGCTCAAAATACTGTATATAAAATAAATGATATTATTTGACACAAGCCTAAGGGTATTATACAAATTTACATTAATCATGTTTAGGACGGAATGAGTGATGGTGTAATTTGGCGTATATCGGCAGTTGACTAAATTAAGTTTATAAAATACCTAGTTTTTTTGAGTTTTAGTTCGTTTAAGTTTTATTTCATTTTAATTTCCAAATATAATTACCTTAAGATTAACGTGGAGAGAGGAATGAATAAGGTGGTTCGAAATCATCCTTCTGTTAGTGTAAGAATTAGTAATAAATAAGCAGTACCTGGGTACCAGAAACAAGTGTATGGACAACTTAAAAAAAAATTTTGTATCTATTTTATGTATAACAGAAGTAAAAGTTGGAAAAGCTTTTGCCAGTTCTCCCACTTTATATACATAAATTGACAGGTTTGCGGCGGATCTCACCGAAGTGGACGCGATACATTGGCTTACAAAATTATTTTATAGATGTTAATAACAATTTCGAGTAAATAGTTTAATAAATTGTGAATAGCTATTGAAATTTTGTAAAATTATGATTTGAATATTATAATACATGTTTAATAATTATTTATAGTCCATAAATACATGCGATTGTCCGGTTCCGCCGATAAAAATTTAAAATTAATTATTCTATGAAACAACACTAGCAGGTAAACATTACTGCGAAATTCTCGAAGCCGTCCGACGTGGTTTGACGTTTACCCCCTCTCTACCTACCAAAAGCCTTTTCAACTTTTACTTTCGCTATACAAAAAGTACAGAGGCTTGAACACACACAATATGTTTGGTGTGGAATTTATAAAAATCACTTAATACCCAAGCACAGTTATTGAAAAAAATTAACAATGTAACAACATTAGAAATAAACCGGAAATTTTACAAATCAGTGAAAAATATGTTAAAACGTCTGCAGAGGTGTATTGACGTTCACGGTGTTCATTCTGAAAATCTACTTTAGTTATAATTATTTGTTTCTGTTAGTTTTATTACTTTATTAAATAAAATGAGCCCGGTCCTGTGTAGATATTCAATTTCCTAATGGAAAATGCTGTAGTTAAAAAAAAATGAAGCTGGTACCTAATTTGTGTAGCGTTTTAAAAGTACTGAGTAACATATTTGATTTTAATATTGTAAATACTGATTTATAATATTGTAGTCGCCATTATAAAAATTTACTGTAAGAAAATTAATAAAATAAAAAGATATACAGGGTGACATTCTAGCTAAGAAGAGCAATATAAAAAAAGAGTCCGGTCCGGGAATTTTTTTAAAATAAATTTAAAGTTTTGATTAACCTAAGAGAGTGTAATTTTGTACATTTTATCAAAATATCTCTAGCCGTTCCAACAAAATGACCGACTTTAGTTTTGGCAAAAAATCATAAAACACCCTATATCTCAGAAACGATAAAGTTTAAAGGCTAAGTATGGGGGTGTTTTGAACTCAGCTTAGTGTACTCTACCTCCCAATAAGCTGTGTCCATTTAAATCTGAAACACCCTGTATATAGAATCAGTTACGAAGATTCCCAATTTTATTATCGAAATTATGTTGACACTTTTGGCCCAGCCATAGGTACAAAGCTACAACTACTAGCATGTGGTACTAAATTTCTCAAAAAGGTATGTCTTTTTCTTTACGTTTAGTGTACATATGTAAATAAAAAGTGTAAACGTTCCCGTTAGTAAATAGATTAAATGGAAGTACCTTTCATTAGTGTTTTACTTTCATAAGGAGTATTTTAGGGTAATCTATACTGTAACCTACCGCACCCAGGTACCTTCATAATTTGTATTCAAGGAAGTGTTGAATTCTTATTAAATGCAATGAAAAATCTCCCAGATAATTAAATCTTATTTACGACACCTAATAAATAATATCTGTAACCCTGTTCGTAAGAGATCCAATTTCTTGCAAGTGTCTGGGAACCCAACTCGAAACCAACATACAACATATATTTTGTCATGAAGTAATAATCATTGAAACATTTAACGTACTTATCTGAAGTCAGTTTTGAATAGGAACATTGTTTTCGACACACAAATTTTTCAAGGCAAGTAATCAATCTAACACCCCTTTTATATCCACCCAAATTCGTTCCCACCAGAGTAACGACCAATTGACGTCACAAAAATTCATTAAATCGGGTATAAAGACCCGATCTCGAGACACTCGTGATTCATTGAGAATTGAAACTCACTTCAGTTGATTTCGAGCTCCAGTCGTTCATTATTCTTCAAATCTAATATAATTCAAGTTTACAGTACCTTTCCTAAATCCGCGCAGTTCATATCCTACTTCCTATCGACGTTCTACATCCCGACGACCTATCTCCCGTCACACCGCTCTGAATTCCGACGCCTACGTCTCGGCCAAATATCCACACACAAGATAACGCTTCCGTATCGAATACAACAATATAAAATGTCAGAAATACAAACACGATAATATTCACCCAACGATGGTAAGTTAATAATTTAACAAAAAAACTAAATTTGTATCATGGGAATTTATTATTGAATAATAATGTACTATTGTGTAACCCATTATTATTCAATAATGGTCAACTTTGTAATTTTGAGGAATTTATTATTCGCCGACACCACATTTAGCACGTCTATACTGTTTTTAAACTAGGAGGACCGAATTTAAAAGACGCATTTACACAAGGAAAAGTAACTAAATTCGTTACTAAGAGCATGTTCCGAAATATAGTCATGTTTAAAATGTATGTAATAGTTGTTATTATCGGCCCTAGTCGACGAACGGCCAATTTCAATTATTAACTGATGTTAATGCTAAAAAGTGATGTGTGAAACTGACTGCAATTTGACCAATCAGAAGTCTACAGGATTATGAACTTAAATTAAAATCGCTCCTCCTAGTTTAAAAACAGAGTATAGATGTGTATACTATGGGCCACATTGCCTTCAAATTAATATACCACCGTAAAAGATAACAACTGTCAATGAACCCTCGCAAATAGCGATCAAATAACAGCTCAGCTGATTGGGGTAAATGACACATCGGGCGACTAGACTCACATTTTACACGAATATGCTTGATGTTACTACAGGGTTGGAATATCTTAGTTAATTATCTCTCAATCTTCGCACTATAGGTAAGGGGTAGTTAGCTGATATTGATCCGGCTCTATTCTAGTAGGACTACACTACATAAACCCCCCCCTAGGTGAGGCTGAAACATAAAGGATATCCGTCTGTTATTGCAACGACTGCATCTCAGTAAGCGCACCTATATAAAAAAGAAACGTAGAAAACCAAAAATTATTATAGATAGTGCAATTCTGAGGACGTCTGCTGTATATCCTCAAGAATTTTTCAACTATATATATTTGAGGGCAAGTGGCCTGTTTGTTTGGGCGGGACACATGTGAGGTCTCGGTGAGAAATACAATGTCTCATTACCCAATATTAACACTATTTGTACATACTCATTTATTTGAGAACAAAAATAAATTAAGTTAAATATATTTTGAGCATTATTTCATTCACAAATTTGTATCAAACTTTGCATCGAATCCTGGTTTATCTTAACATTATCACAACGTGGGTATATAAATTATTAATTCATTAACTAGACGATCGCTACTACTAGAGGAAAAAGGCCAAATGCAGTAAGTATGAATTACTTTGAATTTTACAAAATGGAGGGAGGTAGTTTTAGATAATGCAGAACTTTTTATGAAGAATAACTTTTTTCCTAACATTAATAATAAAAAAGTTTTCCATATGATTCCAACTTAGGGGGACATACTGTATATGGTACTCACCTGTGAACACAGAATACCGGCCTCCTTATACTTATGCCTCTTCAATTGCGCGCTAGCGAGATTCATCATCACGGTAGTCCTCAAGTTCTTGTTCAACGTTGGTATGGTCTTCTTGCTCAAATACCAATCGATGTACCGCAAGCATTTCACGTATTTACGTTCAGCGTGGGCGAAATCATTTTTGTTGAAATAATGGTTTCCGGAATTTTTGATGGCGTTGATGGCCTTTTCGACTGGTTTAAGGTTGTCGGTTTGCTCGTCCCAATCATCCGGCCAAGGGGGGTATTTGTCCTCGGTGCCGTCGTTTTCATAAAAGTTCCACGGCTCGCCCGGTTTGAGTTCACCGCAATTTTCTATTATCAAATTCTGAAAAATAATAGTACGAATTTGTAATCTTCGTGGAGACATCTGCACATTCGCTTGGTTTGTTGTAGCTTTTCATTGAGCCAGTTTACTTGAAGTGCTGACTTTAAATACAACTCAACAAGAGTAGCTTTGCCGATGACCTCAGGGTGCTAGACATAGTGAACATATAATCTGGTAAAGACCGTTTGGAGATATTCCGTTGTCACTTATTTATAAAAGGATTACTTCATTGTAAAAACGATTACTATGTGATCGTTAATACGAACATAAATAGTAGAGGATGGTATTCAAATACAATCGTTTTCCAAAAAGAGAAAGTGGGTGTTTCCGTTTGATTGTTTATTGTCCTTGGAAAAATATCAGAATATATTGGTTTAAAAAAGTAGCCATACCAAATTATTCTTTAAATGGCAACGTCAAAGAATAAAGAATGACATTATAACAATATGATAAAACAATTACATGGACTAAATACAATATTCTTATTGAACTTTGCCCAAAGGGTATAGGGCATTTTCGACCTTTGGTCAGAGAAGACTCTTATGTTATACACATAGAATTAAGGGATAAACTGTATAAATACAATGAATGGAAAAGACATACTTATTGTTGGATGGTGTATCAGTGTTTGGAGAACAATTGTATATACAGAGTGTGCCACCGGAAACGCTTCTGTCTGAAGAGTCAAGACTAACTGCTTTTTTAAATCTGTTATCAAAGCGAGATGTATAGAGATGGTTCAGGAAATATTGCGATAGTTCCGCCTACAATGTTCGAAAAAGAGTTGAGAGGGGACGCCTGACGTGTCTCGAAACTATTCTATGAGGAAAGGCAACAAGTTAAAAATAATTTCAATTGTGCATTGCACGGAGAATGTAGGGAACTTTACTTGTTTTGTGATTATTGTAATTAATTCTATAGAGTAGATATTGTATTCAAATAAATTTTGTTTAGCTGTTAAAACATTTTCTTTTAGGGTAGAGTTAAGGATAGAGCTCGGGTTGAGGCTTTGATAGTCGGGGGGCATGTCACGCTAAACAAATAACACCCTACACATAAAATTAATGTTTTTTATTTTAATATTCATTCGTTAAATTAAATAATTCCGCAACATACTTTATATATTTTGATAAACATTAGAAACAATTCATAACTACATTCTTGATAAATGTAAATACGAGTATAACATTAAACTAGACACGTACTGACCTTAAGGGCATTCTTACTTTTTTCTAGAAGGTACATTTCTAATTTTTATTTTCATTTGGTAACATGTATAGTCCTTCTATTATCAATTGCAGAACACAGTTATGTGGGGAATCATCAATATTTAATATATACGCACGGTACTCATGCCAAATTAAGAAACGAAAAATAATGTTTACTCCCCTTATACAAAGCGGTAAATATTAAACGAACCATCAGTTGTTTACCAATGAAAACATCGAATCGTAAACTTAAATGCACTGTATTGGCCGAAGGTTTACGGAAGGCAGGTGTTCGAAAATATTCCTGGAAGACAGTCTGCGATATCAGTGGAGTACTGTCGTGCGGTGTGGTTATTATGTGTGGTTGATTTAATTTAAATTTCTTTTAATAAATGTAAATATGGCGTTCTTTAGACCATGGGCGAATGAAGAAAATGAAATTGCACAGTGTAGTGAGATTAAAGACAGGTATGACTTTAACGATAAGGATTTAGATATACAAACACAACAAGTTATTTTAAATATATTTGAATGTTTAAAAAAGAAAAATATTCAGCAGTCTGATAATGCGTTCATAACAACAATTGCTGAATTAAATAAAGTAAATAAATTTTCCATTTATCCGGTAGTCACGAAAGGGGTTGCTGTGGATTATTCATAAAACCAAAAAACATGTAAAGAAAAACTGAAATCAGTTGACAGAGCTACCCAAGATTTTATACGAAGGACAATTTATAGTTTATACCGGGTGTTCAAATTAAAGTGTTACAGTCAAATACCGCCGAAAATATGCATTTTAGAAAAAAAAGTTTCAGACAAAAGTTTTATAGTTTTTTGGGGGAAACATTTTGGCGCGAAAAAAAAAAATTGGCCATATTATGGTTAGCTATAAAAAACGATTTTAGCCAAAAGTTTTTCCCCACAAAACTATAAAACTTTCGTCTGAAACGTTTTTTTTTTTATAAAAAGCGGTATATAGCTGTAACGCTTTAAGTTGAACACCCGGTATAAGGAGAACAGGGTTCCGACATTGGAAGTAATGCAGCAAAAGGTGGCAGATTTTCCAGGATACACTTAAGGTGCAATTTCGGTGACGCGGCTGGCTGCGGCGGCTAGCAGCTGCGTCTCCAGCCGCTGCACTGGTATGTACAGTTTCAAATGGAACCAATTTGGCTTGCGCAGCGCGACTAAAGCGGCGGCAGCCCGCGCTGCAGCGGCTGCTGTTCGACTACTCGCGGAGCAGTCGAGCGGCTGAAATAGTAGTGACCAGGGCAAAAATGGCGCCATTTACGTCAAATGACGAGGAAATTTTAATCAACGAAATACAAAAATATCCCGTAATTTATGATTATGAAGACAAAAATTACAAAAATTGTTATTAAAGAAAATTGTTAGAAAAAGGTCGCTAAAGAATTTTCTAGATAACATTTGGTAAAATTCTGCTTCATCTTCCTCTTCTTCTAATAAAATTAATGTTATCAAATCGTCGTAATCCAAATTTTTTAATAAACCCCGCAAAAATTTAAAATGACAAAAATGCTACAGTCCGCAGTCAACGGCTGCCTAGAACTGCGTCACCGAAAACATCTTTTCATCGCGGCTACAACTGCCGCGGCCAGCGTCTCTAGTCGCGCAGCTCGAGCAGCACCACCGAAATCGCACCTTTATACCAGTTTGGAAACATTGCGTCAAGTTTTGTCAGCAAAAAATTGAATAAACAGATGGCAATCACCGTATCGTCAAGGATAGTTCAATGGCGACAAGATTATTTGCGTCAGATAAAAGGCTACAGAAGTTCTAATAGACACATAATTTATCTAGATGAAACATGGTTTGACAGTCACGATGTAGTAAATTTCGGTTGGGTTGGCAGTAGTAAAAATTGCTGTTTGAATGGGCCATGTTCTAAAGGGAAACGCATTATAATAGTACACGCTGGAAGCAAAGACGGTTTCGTGCCTAATGCTTTATTATTATCTGCTAAACAAATTAAAAACTGTGCAGCTGATTATCATGAAGATATGACAGCAGAATTATTTGAAAAACGGTTTAATGAACAGCTTTTACCTTACATTCCATCACAGTCAGTAATCGTTATGAACACTCGCGGCAACTCCTTAAAATACCAAATTTTAGCTTTTATGCCTGAAAAAAATATTCCTATTCCTGCCAGTGATAGTAAAAAAGGACCAACAAACAAAGAATTGCTTACTGTTATTAAAGGTATAAAGTTAGAAAAAATGTATTATATTGACAAGCTGTGCAAACTCTTCTCAGACCACCTCCTTACTATTGCATATTTAACCCTATTAGTCTAAGATCCGAAGTAAGGTCGACCTTCACCCATCTGTTTAATGGATGAAAGTTTCTTTTTAATAAATAAAATATGTTTAAAAATATACTGCAAAAGGGTTGCCTAAGAAAATACGGTCCAGACTATTTATTTTCTTAAAATAAAAAAAACAACACCCTGTAAAATCTTCCCCAGATGATTCGACTATGCCCAAACTTTAATCAGCTCACCGCAGGATAGATTAAAGCTTAAGTTTAAAATTTGGTGCTTTTCTCCTTATCCGTTTTTGAGTAGTCTTTAAAATTCGAAATTTGCATTTTTCTCAAATATCTCGAATTAGGTCCATTTTAGGGAAATCATGTATAGGGACAAAATAATAGAGAATGACATCGTAAGTAACTTTTATACTGATTTTTATACTTTTCTTATCTGTATACAGAGAGAAAAGCAAAAAATGGCCGTGACCGTATTTTCTTAGGCAACCCATTTGCGGTATATTTAAAAACATATTTTATCTAATAAAAAAAAACTTTTATCCATTAAACAGATGGGTGAAGGTCGACCCTACTTACGGATCCTGGACTATATAGAGTTAATATTGGCAAACTTAAAATCAGAATTACGAAAATGTAATCAGTCTCCAGAACTGAGTAAAGAAGTTGTAGAACTCGTAAAGAAAATTCTAGCAGCAGACCGCCAAGAGCTTTGGAAAAACTGTGTTGAACATGTTATCAAAGAAGAAGATGAATATGTAGTATTACTCTCTTTACAACCCATCATAATTCAACCAAATGATGACTCTAGTTCAGAGGATTCAGACTGCCATGATTATTTATAAAGATACTTTAGAATTGAATTGTTATTTTTCTTTTGTTTTATTTGCAAAGAATTTATTTTCCTCTATGGTTTTATCTTTGAAATTTCGTTTTCCAGAAAAAGAACGAATGGGGTACAAAAAGGGTTCAGTTCACGTCTGGTACCCTGTTTAAACCAAACGCCCTTACAGGCACTTTACTCGCTTTTTTACGTTTTATAATTTAATATTCAGTTGTAGCAAGTTAACGAGCTGTAATAATTTTTTTTTAAGTCCAAGTAAGATTACAATTAAGTGCATCTGTCTAAACAAGGGCGTATAATAACGTCCAATTTATAATTATTCGATTTCCTTTTAACGAATACTTTCTTGCATATGATATATATTAAAAGTGTTGATAAAATAAATTTATAAAATGAGGTAGATATCTACGCCTATGGCAGATCAAACAAAATTGTCGGTGGAAGAATGGAAGAACTATAACGCAGTGAAAACGACGTGAAGATATATTTTAGTTGAATAGATCAAAAGTTGACAAATTCGTTATTCACATGAACTTCGCTTGCTGATGTGCTGCAATCAACTGGTCAATTCGAATATTGGTTGGGACTGATAACAGTTGACGAGCTGGTTACTCTCAAGAACGTCGCTTTGTCAAATGCTGTAATTAACTGGTCTATTAGAG